CTTAAGGAAAAGATAAATAGATCAACGTGACTAATTTCAGAGGTAAATAGTGAAGCAAAACGTAATAATATTATGAAACATAATTGTCAAAGGTTTAAAGATTCATTGAAATGTATTTAGGTTTTAAAATTTGAATGTTTATTTTTTGTCTCAATGTCCAACATTTATACAGTGTCGTCTCATTTTGCCCCGGGTGATTTTGAATTTCTATCGAAACTCTTGTTTCTCGTTGTATATATGCAAAAAATATTGAATAAATAAAAATATGCGCGTGTCATTGCTATAATGCGCAAGTGCGATTACGAACTCCAGTTCTATATCTGTTATCTACGAACGTCAAATGTTACTGAATGAATCGGTTTCAATAGGCAACCATCAGTAATGTTCATTTGTAATTTGTATACAGTTATGTAATAAATGAATAAAGAAACAATCCACACATTTTTGCTCTTAGTAATAGAGGAGAGTGAAACAATGACGTCGAGCGGTATTTTGTATATACATGTATTATATTTTTTAACCTAATGTTAACGTTATTTTTTAACTTGTATGTTTACCTAAAGTGCGGCCCGCTGTATCGTTACGCGTCATCGAAGTGGCCCGTGAAACTATTTGAGTTGGTGGCCAGGCCTGCTTTAGACGGAGAGCTGGCTACGAAAATCACGAATGATAAATTTTTGTTGTCTTTTTTCTATGCATTTCCCTCGCCTTAGCCTTCTGCCATTGCATATGTAGTTAATTAATAGTATAAATAGTATAAAAAACACACTGCCAGAACTGCACCTTATTATTTATATTTTAAAGAATTGCTTTCCGGTTTATCAACTTATGGCGATATTATCATTTTTCATGTACTTAGCCACCATTCTGTCCTCTGGCAATTGTTATCCAGATTTATCCAGATATTCCTTATTCTGTGCCTGGCCATACGCGGAATAAATATATTTCCATTTGCGCAAACGCTGTCTCAGTTTACATTCGTTAATGTATATTTAACGACGCTTGGCGCTTTATTGGGAGCTCCTTTGTTAACTTTCACGTGAAAAACTTGGCGTGTACAATTTTTCCCGACGGAACTCGGTTGGTTTCCGCGTCATATTTCATAATATTCTATACAAAATGTTACGTTTAATTAATTTTTGTTACTAATCATACTCTATTTCAAACATATACAGGGTGTCCCAAAAATGTTGGAGGTCCTTGAAGAGGGTGGTTCGTGAGGTGATTTGAAACAACTTTTTCCTTAGCGAAAATGTTGTCCGAGGTTTCGTTGAGGAGATATTAACGGAAAACCATGACCAATCAGAACGCGCGTAGCGTAGGCTACGGGTATGCCAATGGAGCGCCTGCTGATTGGTCAGTGTTTACTTTTAATATCTCCTCAATTCTTCGCTAACGAAAAAGTTGTTTCAAATCACATTCCGAACCACCCGTTTCAAGGTGTTACAACCATTGAGTTCTATCCTAAGTGGAGTGTGAACAACTGTAGGAAGAAGTAGAGGCGACGGAGGTCCGAGAGAAATGCAGAATGGGAGATTCCGGTATTATCCTATAGCAAATTTATTTGTAATGTGGAGCAAACATACGCCGTAACATAACCTACCCGAGCATCGCTAAGCATCTTCGAGTGAGTTACTTTCAGATTCTTTTTCGCATAAAATTGGATAAATACAATACAAATTGAATTGTGGCAAATAATAAAATTTAGCTCTATACCAAATTGTATATGTATATTTGTATGATCTAAATTATGGTATGTAAATTATGTATACTATTTCATTATTATGTCATTATTATTAATGTTTCTATCGTTTTATATATAAATAAAAAGGAAAAAAAATTCAAATCTGTACATAATTAATCTATAAATAATTCCTAGAGTGCCGCGAAATTCAAACAAAGAAGAGTCTGTTCTCCGTCCACACATAAATTTGCTATAGGATAGTACCACCGTAACCACTCATCTTGCATCTCTCTCGGACCGGCTTCTCTCTCGCAATTCACACTCCACTCAGAATAGAGCTCAATGATCGGGACAGAGTGAGATGAATTGATTTAACAGCACCGGCGTGACTTTCCATTATACAGGGTGTCCCAAAAATGTTCTAACAGCTTGAAAGGGGTGATTCGGGAGGTGATTTGAAACAACTTGTAGCGGACTACGCGCCATAGGTCTAAGAACTGCGACATACTTTGTATGAACAAAGTCGATGGCGCGGCGGCGTCTGGCATTGACTTCATCATAGCCAGGGTATGCAATGTTTGGACAGCGGTATTACAAAGCCGCTGACCACTAATGAGGAGAGTTTTTCCTCCCCTTCCTGGTTGCTCCTTGAGGAGCAACGGGTCGGAGTTCGACACAGCAGTCTATGACGAGAGGTCGATATTGGAACATCGCGTGACTATATAATAAAGTTTACTCTTGTTATTGTTACATTTCGTCTATACGATTTATTCATCCCCGTAACATCCTAACAACTTTTTCCTTAGCGAAAATGTTATGCGGGTTTCGTTGAGAAAATATTAACGCAAAACACTGACCAATCAGAGCGCGCTCCATTGACACACTCGCGCTCTGATTGGTCGGGGAGCGTGGCCGCCTAGCGCGTAGCCTACGCTACTGTGAGCGCTCCACCGGTATACGCGCGATCTGATTGGTCGAGGTTTTCTGTTAATATCTCCTCAACAAAGCCTCGGACAACATTTTCGCTAAGGAAAAAGTTGTTTCAAATCACCTCCCGAACCACCTCTTTCAATTTGTTACAAATATTTTTGGGACACCCTGTAGTGTCAACTAGAAAAAGATACAATTTATACGTTCTATCTATTGCCTGTTGGTGGTTCGTGAAATACGCAACGTTTTGTTGTTCTCGGGTACATTTATTTTTACATTAGAAAACACACCGCATAAGCACATGTGTAGAACATTATACTGCACAATAAGCGTACGGAGCCCGTAGTTTGAAAAAGAAAACAAAAGAAAACAAAAGAAAACCATGTAGGCAGTGCCAACTTACAGGAATATTAAAAGAGATATTGAATTAAAGTATAATCATACATTATAAACATCAACATTGCCGCAACACAGTGATGCTGTTGGCTTCAGTCTTCTTTTTTTAATCATTCTCGAGTTTTCGTTATTTGTATAAGTGTTTATAGGAATCAGGGCCGGCGCAAGGCAGGATCAGCGTGTTCGCCGGAACCCGGCCCCGTATTTTGGGAGGCCCCGCGGTCTACGAAAATGTTCATTAACATTTTACGGAATGATGATACCATTAACAGATGCAAGATATTTTTTTATTAGCGATGATTCAGTTTAAAGGAGTGACAAAAATCATCAAAGTATTATTATTTAATATTGATCTTATAAAAGGTATGTAATAGCATTTGTAAATAAATAATTCCGCGTTGTAAAATTTAAATGTAGAACTTGAATATGAATCCAGGCCCCACCAAATTTTTGAACCCGACCCCGCAACAGGTCACGCCGGCCCTGATAGGATTATGTGTCGAGGACTGTATGTTAATATAAACACCCTTAAACTTAATAGTCGGCACTTTGATTAGTAAGTTACGCCGATGTTGTACATACAGTCGTCATTCTGTTTCACTCTGTCTCGATATGTTCGCTGTCGTCGTTTGTACGTAGCGCACGGTAGCAGGAGAGAGAATCAGAGTGAGAAAGAAAATGAGTTTGCCTCGCCAACTTGTTGTGAGCGCACAGTAGTAAGGAGTGTTTTTAGATACAAAGCTGCACCTTATCATTCGTGTTTTTCGTAGTTAGCTCTGTAAGATTCTCGAGAATTCGAAAGTCACGTGACCTGACCCATGTTACCGAACGTGTGGATTAGAGCACGAGAGTCTCGCGAAAACCACGGAACGAGTTGGACGCGTTCTGAAAGTATTACGAATAAATATATCTATAATTGAAAACCTTACAGCTCTTAGACTACTTCAGCATACATCGACGCTCTTTCGCACAACTCTAGAAATAATTTCAGTTACTATATTTTTCTTTTAAAATATATATTCAAATACATATTTTTGTAACACTTTAATTGGAAATAATAAGGACCGTTCAAAAAGATATAGCAGTTATGTGTAAAATTACAGTTTTAAAATTATGATTTTAAAATTATGATTTGTACACTTAAAAATATGTATAATTAATGTATGTGAATGAGATGGTCGCCTACGCGAGCTCCCCGCTTCCGGTGTCTTAGCGGAATGAGAAAGGTGTGTTTTTCTGCGTGATGAGTTTTTCAAAAACTTGAGATACTTTAAGTTTATGTTACGATGCCTGTGAGTATCAAAAGGAAAGTTTATTTTGTTATTTTCATATTCGATACATATATGTACCTTGGAATTGAATTCCTTGTTTAATATTCTGTCTATGTCTAAAAACTTAAAAAACTCCATATATTTTAAGAATAATAAATGTAAGAAACAAGGCTGACTAACTTACTTTGAACATATTGATTCCGATATCCTTGTATACACTGAATCAATAGGTTAGTGATCAAACAGTATACAAAACCTAACACATTTTAGAATCCAAGTACATAGCTACAAAAATATGGTTTGGCGTTCCTTAAACATATTACGAAAAACTTTAAGTTCATGGGACATAGTGTGATATTTACAGGGATGATGCAGCGTTCGGATGACATAATGTTCGGATCAGGCATGGGTACGTTCGAATTCATCCAAAATACCAAATAATATACTTTTTTTATTCTCTTCAAATTTGTCATTTACACATGTAAAATACTGTTTTCCAAAATTATATTATTGCAAAGTAATTTATTTGTCGAATTTTTAATAAAAAAACGATTTATGAACACCAGCACAACATACGCACACCAGTACAACATACAGGGTGTCCCAAAAATGTTGTAACACCTTGAATGAGGTGGTTTGGGAGGTAATTTGAAACAACTTTTTCCTTAGCGAAAATTTTTCCTAAGGAAAAAGTTGTTTCAAATCACCTCTTGAATCACCTCTTTCAAGGTGTTACAACATTTTTGGGACACCCTGTACATTCGATTGTCTCACATTAACATCGCCCAAATTGATTAAATATTAAAAATGTTCAAAAAATAAAACTGCAACTATAATCGAATAAACGTTCTTATTAATTTCACAATAATTGCATTGTCCCGCAATTATTTCCTCCGCGGCACCAACGTTATAGAATCTTTGCTCAACTTGTATTTCTCCATCAAATATTCTACTGTTGATTGGCCACGCAGCGGGATCTCATTTGCATTACGTGGAACCAACGTTATCGAATCTTTGTTCAACTTGTATTTCTCCATCAAATGCTCTACCGTCGATTGGCCACGTGGTGCGATCTCATCCGCATTATCCTTGACGCGTTCCACGCGTTTATCCTGATCGGAAGTTCCTCTAACCATCTGTATCCGTGTCGCGCTGCTCGATTTATTTTCGGTTCTCAATTTCCTTCTTTTTGACTTGAACTCATCGGAATACGTGTCCATGGAAACGAAACAATTTTTTCGTTTTCTCGTTTGTTCTATCGCCTCGAAGATGACAATGACATCGCAAGAATCGCTCTTTGAAATTCGATCCCTCTTCTCGATCTTTCGCATACTATCATCGTCATGTCCATTTTCAGGTTTCGTTCTTTCTTCTCGACCCGAAATGCTCTCTGAAATTCGATCCCTCTTTCGAACCTCCTGCTTGCTACCAACGCTGTTTACGTCTCCAGAATTGGTCCTCGACTCGTTTTTCAATTCCTTTCGTTCGCTGGAAACTCGAGTGCTACTTATTCTTTCTGCTGATTTTTTGTTAACCTTATTCTTAGAACCACACGATGGCGGTACGAACGATATCGCCCCATTGATTACGGTGTGCTTCTCCACCTGCATTGTTCTCAATTTACACGCATTCATTACGTTTGAAATGCGTCTGACACATTTTATCGTATCCTTCATGGAAGTTTGTGAAGAGTCCTTTACAAATAATTGCGCGCCTACTGAACTACTTTCGCTGGACGACGGTTTTTGCTTATTCATTGCCAAGTTATCGTTACATTGCACAATCCCCTTTTCATCGAGCCTGTCTGCAGCAGGTTCTTTTTTACAGGAAATTTCGAATTTATTCAAATTATCTTCTAAAATTTCCATCGATTGCTTTTTATCATCCTCGTTTGAGTCACAACTAAGATAACAAAAAAAAAAAAAAAACTATTGTCACTGCATTGATAATACACATTGCTATTAACAGTAGTGGATAATTGAACAATTTATTGGTATAAACCATAAAAGAGTTTAAGCTACAAATATTTCATTCCTTTCTATGTAGATGAACTTATATGCTCGTACCAATATATTATTTAACTATCTGATCGTCTAATGTCCTTTGTTATTTCCAAAAATTAATTTACCTGTATTTAACTCCTACATTTTTGGAATACGTAATAAACTTAAGAGTTCTTATATTCGCCATTTCCTTGTCTTTGCAAACATCACAGTTCGTTTCGCAAGGCATTGTTGTATACCCAAAATATTCGCTAATAACTGCATGACGACATCTGTACGTAATTTCAAATGTAATTTTGTTGACATAACAGTTAAACTGATTGATTAATTCTTGAGAATTGATTTCTTACTTGATCGATAAACAATAATCGACTAGCTTGTCATACTCGCATAATTGTTTTCTAATAAGCGCCGAATCGTCGATTGTATCGTGTTTTTCAATCAACAACTTCACAGAAGAATATTCCTTCATGCTAAAATATATTCTGCAATATGTATGGCCGTTTTCTGTACACGTTTGCGCAGATTTTCTATAGTATTTGCTAAGATTTTTAGGTACTGTCCAGTAGACTGTGCATCTGATCGAATAAACATTTTACAAGTCAGTTGGAACTGTGCGTTAGCAGAACGTGTTTCTTTTATTATGGAATATCATATACCGACCTAATTGGTTTTTTATAAATGAATCCATAATCATACGTAGTAGTAATAACAGTAGCTTCTCCAGATATCCACATATTTTCTACATTACGTCGTGTGCTATTATTTTGTTCTAGAATAAATCATGCATTTATATTTGGAGAATAGAAAAACAATGAATAATTTAGATAGTAAACTTGCTTACTGTGGTGACATGTAACAGTGGGTATACCAAAAGCGTTTAACTTGTTTTTTATTAACTCTGCTGTGACTTCCTCTCTACAGTAAACAATGGCAAGACCTGTATGTATCTGAGTACAGATAATGTTTGTAAATATATATCTTGTACTCTTATGAAAGTACGAATTGCGTTACCTTGTGAGTAGACGAATGTAAGAAGCCAAGTGCTTCTATCACAAAACTTTTAAGATGCTCTAACGGATTAGAAAGTGTGTCTACAAACCATACATCGTGATGTACATTGATTTGTTGCACCGGTATTCTAAATATTCTTGGAACTTTCAGTGTCAACAGTTTGCAAATGTCTTCGATCACCTAACAAAATGTTAAGTAACCACATGTTGAGTATTTAAGAAAATAAAACAAACAATTCAAGTAAAAATGTAATTCGTTCTTAGCTATTTCTAAGTAATTACCATGTCTGTAACGGTTGTAGTCACCCAAACTGTAGGAACACCCATACATATACCATGTAATACACTTATTTTTTTGTATGAAGGTTTATATTCATATCCCCATTTGCTTAAACAATGCGCTTCGTCGAACACAATATAAGACAATACTTTACGTTCTTTTAATGAAAACATGAGACTCTGCAATGTACATTTACGTTAATTAGGAGCATTTGGGCACAGTCCAAATTTCTAGAATGTACTGTTTACCTTAAAATATGGACACATAACTATTTCAAGCGAGCAATACAACAATACGATTGTAGGAGTATCCGATGTTAAGTCTTTTAAAATTGCTTTCCGTTCGTTAGCGAATAAGCTCTTGTTTAATAAACGTGCATTGATGTGTTTGCCTCTTAAAAAATCTACATGTTTCTGTGAAACATCTGAATATGTAACAAATGACAACAAAATTATGACACGAAGGAATACACAGTGCATTGCGTATGTATAGTTTAAAGCTATTAAAATCTTTACCTTCATCAAAGATAACTTTGGTGAAAAAACTACACCGACTTTGCCCTGTTGTGAAATGACTGGTAACTGAAAGCAAAGATTTCTACCGAACCCAGGAGGCATAGATATGCACACATACTCTGAACCTAAAATTGTATATTAGATGCATCATTTATATTGCATCAGACAGTGAAATTTGTTTCTTAATAAACTACTATATTAAAAAGTGCAAAAGGTAGCTATCCTTAGCAGAAGTGCAATATTTATAAAAATGTCTGTTTTGTTAAATTTACGAGGGTCCATCAAATATAAACGAGACTTTTGTTTCTGATCACGAAAATTTAAAGGGAGTGGATGACTTCTTTTACAGTGTACTGTTTAGGATGTCAGGAGTGGGGAGAGCAGGGCATTGTTGAATTCAGACAAGTTTGACAGTAACATTCACAATGTCAGAATAACAAGTGCATGTCTCGTTGCGCAACGTATAATTATTCAATTTCTTACCCATGAAGACGTCAAACCAGTTGAAAGTTTGCAAAGATTGTGGCACAGTTTGGGGATCAAACACTATCAAGGGCTTACGTGTTTGCCTGGCTAAGAAATTCAAGGAAGGACGTAAACAAGTTGAAAATGTGGAACATGATTGTCGTCCTCGAAACAGCATTACGGAGGAGAACATTCGCACAATTCGAATCCTTCTTGAAAGTGATCGAAGTCTAACTCTAACTTGCAAAAAACATTAGAGGAAATGAGATGGACTTCATTCGAGTGCAGCCCTACAGTCCTGACCTATCGCCTTGCGATTTCCATCTCTTTGGACCAGAAGCACTAGCAGGACAATGATTCCAAGACGATTCGCCAGTGGAGGCTAATGTGGGCAATTGACTCTTAATGCAGCACTCTTTGTTCTATGATACTGGGATTAAAAACCTTCCAATCCGCTGAGAAAAATACATTTCCAAACAGGAGATTATGTTGAAAAGTGATACGTACTTGGATATTTGTTTACACTGAATAAAATTATTTTAAAAGTAAGGTCTCGTTTATATTTGATCCGCCCTTGTATTAATTAAGTACAGCAAAAAAGTGCTTTCGACTAACGATGAAAATTTCATGATAAAAAAAGTTTGTTAAACTTTTAATAGGAAAGAATTACTAACCTGTGCTGATCGCGATAGTTGCTTCTTTCTGAACGTCATTTTTGAAGTTTTCATAACCAAACACAGATCGCAGAACTCCCGTTAGATTAGATATGTCATAATTCATTTTTAAGCACTTTGTTACACTTTAAAATTGTTCATAATATCAAGTCAAAACTATCCTCGAAAAGGTACTTTCAAAACTTCAATTTCGCATGTTTTGATCCACGTCCACGTGGATCCACGAGCAACTGGATTGACTGGACGACTACAGCGCAAGCTTTGAATTTCATTGGTAATGCCTGAATCGCGTGGGCCAATCAGAAGCGGCGATTTCAAACGCAGTTCGCGCGGAAATATTTAAAATAGATAGATAGATGTTATAACACCTTGAAAAGGGTGGTTCAGGACAACCACTAATTTCAAACAACTTTTTCCTTAGCGAAAATGTTGTCCGAGGTTTCAGTAAGGAGATATTAAGCGAAAACCTCGACTAATCAGAGCGCGAGTATGCCGGTTGAGCGTACCCTACGACGCGCTTGGCGGCTGCGCTCATACGCTACCGCGGCTGCTCCAACGGTATACGCGCGCTCTGATTGGTCGGGGTTTTTTGTTAATATCTGCTTAACGAAGTCTCGGACAACATTTTCGCTAAGGAAAAAGTTGTTTTAAATCACCTCCCGAACCACCCCTTTCAAGGTGTAACAACATTTTTGGGACACCCTGTAGTTTTTATTCCAGCTTTATACCATTACCTTTGAGTTTTCTGTATTTAGGCTTAACTTTTTTTTTTTTATTAAAGGCGTTACCTTTCCGAAGATACCGGGGGTGGAATTTGTCACCGCCTTAATTTGGCGGGGATGGTCGATGAGTTTTCGGGACTAGCAAAGGTGGTTGCCACATGTAGGCAATAAGGTCATTTCGGGACCGCACTACCCGCGAGAATGAAGAATAAGAATGTTAAAATAATTTGCCGTCTTTGCAAACACCAGGTAGGTTTTATTACCTTAAAACCTAACATCTGCAAGCGGTCAGTTTTACCCTCGCGCATCTGCAAACCATATACCGCTACATTAGCCTTTGTAACTGATACTCTATTTCTCCGCGTGATAGTTTCTTTTCCTCGTCCACTTCACTTCACTCATTCTTTCCCTTCTGCAACCTGTTATTTTTTCCTGACCTCCCCCTAAAATGCTTTAATAAATCCACCATTCTGATAGTCTTTCCTATGGTGACTCTGTTTTTCCACTCTTTGTTGATATACTTCCATATCTGTGCCTCCGTGTTTGCCTTTTTGATCTCTTCTATTTCCTTTTCCCTTTTCCTCTTTTCTTTCTCCTCATATAATTGTTCTTAATTCAGCTTTTCCTTTCAAATATTCGTCCCTTGTTACTTTTCCTGCCTTCCATTTCCTGTATAGTCTTTTTAGTTTCCTTTCGCCTTTTCCGCACTCCTTATCCCACCAAAACTTATAACGTATTTTTCTTTCTTTGATCTTCTCACCTTTCTCTTTACTCCACATTCCCGAATTGCCTTCCTTAATTCCGTCCAACCCTCCTCCACCCCCTCCTGTCCAAATGTTCTGTTACCCGTCTTACCTTTAAACGACTGCACATTTTCCTCTTTCTAACACCAAATTTCTATTTTTCTGTCCTCCTTCTCCCTTCCTTCCTCTTTTCCGTTTCCCATCCCCCAACACGTAATCGCAATGGGATGATAATCCGACTTCACTCTGTCTACCATCTCAAACCTTTAGGTGCCTTCTAAGGCCATTGAATTTAATATCACATACTCGATCACCGTTTCCCCTCTGTTACCTATAGTATACGTGCATTCTCCTTCCTCATCTCCCTGTATGTTTCCATTTGCTATCTGCCAACCTCTGCCCTCTGTTAACTGTAGAATATGTTCTCCATCTATGTTTTTCACTCTATCCTTAGTTTTCCTCTTAGTTTAGCCCTTACTTTCTTCATTGTATATCTAACCGTTTTCTTCTATCCTCGCATTCCAGTCTCCTCCCAATGCACAGAGAGCAGAAGAACTGGAGGAGATGCTGAGAACACTAGAAAGATATCTAGATAAAAGAAAGTTAAGCCTAAACACAGAAAACTCAAAGGTAATGATATTTAAGAAAGGGGGTGGGAGGGGAAAAGAACGAGTGTGGAGGTGGAAAGGAAAAGTTTTGGAGACGGTGAAAGTACTTCCAAAGGAACGAAGACATGGCCAGGCATGTAAAAAAGAGAGTAAAGAAGGCGAATGTTATAATCAGACAGGTATGGGGAATAGGAGAACGGAAGTTCAAAGGAGACTTTAGAAGAAGGATTGTAATGTTTGATAGTCTGGTGTTGGGAGTGATGCTATATGGGGTGGAGGTTTTTGGATGGAGGGAGAGGGCGGAGTTAGAAGGGGTACAAACAAAGTATATAAGGTGGTGTCTCGGTTTGGATTTCTGTACACCAAAATACATGATCCTAGAGGAAACAAAAAGGGAGAAAATAGAATCAGGACGGGGATAAAACTTGAAGATTTGAAGAGAAGATTAGGAATGCAGTCGGCAGGGAGCTGTTAAAAGAATGGCTGAAGGAAAAGGAGACATCGGCGGAGGAGGCAAGATATATCAAAGAAAGGACGGATTACCTGAGAAGAAACGGATATAGTCAAGCGGGAGTCGAGGAGTTAAGAGAAGGAGAGAGAGATGTAGCGAAAGAGTCCAAAAATATTCAAGTGCAAAAACAAGTGTAATACTATAAGATAAGAGAGGCAACATATAACAGCAGATATAAATGCATTGTAACAGCACTACGGCCAGAGTATTTAAATAAAACAGGAAAGGGAGATAATCAAAAACTTATAGCTAGGATAAGGTGTGGGAATTTAGAAGAGGGAAACAGATATTGGCTGAAAGAGGAGGACAGAAAGTGCGGTTTGTTCAAATTGGAAAAAGGGACGCTGAAACACCTCATAGAGGACTGCTAGGAGTTAGAAAGAGGAGAATTAAAAGAGGAAACGTTGGTAGAGGGGAGGACGGATGAGAGGGTAGCAGAGTGGGTAAGGAAGATTGAGACGAAGAGGAAGGAAAGGAGCGGGCAGTAAAAAATGTAAAATAGAAAGAGACCAAAGTTAATGTTAAGGGTAGTTTAAGGATTCGATGTATGTAGATTAAGGATTATTCATTTTAAGTTTAGCATGTAAGATATTGAGTATGGTGATATGAGTGAGGGTGTATATGGTTTAGTGGATTGTAATCTAAGTCCATTTCGTGGCTTAAAAGCTGGAATAAAAACTATATCTATCTATCAGTCCCATGACTAGCATTCCTTCATCCTCCTCTTTAATTAGCTCTTTTATTTTTGCACCCAGTCCCTTCATATCCCTTCTGTTCTATACCGTCCATATGTTCCAAAGTTCGTTATCAATTCTTGCTTTCCTTCCCACTAATCCCTCTGATTGTACCTCATCTTCATTTGTCCTCCACTGATGCTTCACTCCTCTGATTATTCTCCCCATTACTCTACCCTTTCCCTTTTCTTTCCTTGCATATTGACAGGAAATATTTAAAACACTGACGACAATATTCACGAATTCTTACATATGATACATTTTTATAATTAATAAATTGTAAATAATTATAGTTATTTTAATTTCTATTAAATTTATATTAACGGGGAATATTCTTTTTCAGATAGGAACAGAAGAAAGTTAAAATTGCACGCAACAGTTTGAAAATTCAATTTCCTTGAGAATAACAAAGTAGATGCAATGGTTTCAGAATAAAAATATTCAGATTTGCCTTGAATTGGCAGATGATCCTGCACGTAAGTTGTACAAGAAATTGATCGTAAATTAAAGGTACTTTTCACGATGTTTGAGAAAAACTATAATCGTTGTAATTTTTAGGTGCATAATGAAGAAATTTTACGTAATATTCCTTTTAATATGCGTGTCCACTGCTCAACTATCTAACGATTGCCACGATCCTAATTGGCACTCGTTAGAGACCCTCGAGTCCGCCAAATTGGAATGCGGTCAGTTCTTCGAAAATCGTTGCTACTGTATGATGACGTGTTATGAGAACCATCACCAATATGTTGTCAACTGCACCGACGCGGGATTCCTTAATACTGTACCGTTGTTGCATCTACCAAATAAAACGCAAGTAAGAGAACAATTCAATATATACAGTCTGTCTCACAGGAACGTGCCGGCTATATTTTTGTAAATATTTATATACTTGTACAAAGTTTTATATGAGTCGAATCAACACCTAAAACATTGATATGCATTTACCTAGAAAGGTGTCCAAGAACCTCAATTAGCAATTATAGATTGGTATCGTCTCTGCATCCTCTCTACTAATTTGTCAAAAATTGTCTGGCATTGGCTCACCAAAGTAGTGACTGTGATTGGAGCAATACAGTGTTCGGTGGTGAATCTTCGTTTCGAGCTTGGTGTCCTATTAGACATGCTTGGTCTGTCCGTAGAAAAAGAATAATACAAAGAAGTGTGAAACACCCCATAAAAGTGCATGTTTGGAGTTGCTTTATCGCAAGAGGTTTTATGTTGGAACTTTATGTATCTTCACTCTCAATCTGAATGCACAAACAATGCTGAAATAATATTAAAGGGGACTTCTCACATCCATGAAACGTTGGTTCAATCAAACGAAACATTAGTGGATGTTGCAAAAAGATAATGACCCTAAACGTCTAAGTCGCTTCTGTAAAAGATGGAAAGGGGAAAACGCTGTTACCATACTATGGTGATAACTAGACTGTGGATTTTTATGCATTTATAGGAAGTTTGAATGCGTAAAAAATTACAAAATGTACACAATGTGCAAGAATATGAAAATAATGAAAGTAAAGTTCACATTATAATATTTGCAGGGTAAAATAAATTCCTATTTAGGTTCAATTTCTGTAGGTGCGTTTACAAAGATTTTATTTTGCATAAAAATCCGCAGTCTAGTGATAACGATGCTGTAATGTATGGTCCATAATGAAGTACAAACTAAGAGGAAGGTGTATTACCAAAATAAGAGCAATTTTACACCATATTTGAAAGATATGTAGGTCGTTTCCAGCATCTTACCCCAAAAAATTAATAGAAAACATGTGGAGATGGTGCCAAGCTATAATTGCTAATGGAGGAGATTGGACACCTGACTAGGTAAATGCGTATTAGTGTTTCAGATGTAGATTCGACCCATTTTGCACAAATAAATTTTGCACAAATATATAAATATTCACAGAAATATAGCCGACATGTTTTTGTGAGACACACTGCACAAATCCTATGAAAATATCACTCGCTACTAATTCGAAATCTTTTTCTGAAAGAAATAGTACATACTATTTGAATTATTTACAGGTCCTAATCTTTACTGGAAATTTCTTGGAGGAACTGCCTTGGAACGTGTTTGGCATCCTAGACGACAGTTTACCCGATCTGCGTGTAATCGACATGTCGAGAAATAAGATCAAGGAAATTCGAGGAAAAGCGTACCACCATGTTCACCGCGTCGAACGTCTTATTCTTGACTTCAACGAGCTCTCGTTAGATCCTGGAAGAAGCCATCCGAGAGTCTTCTCCAATTTTGTGTCTTTATTAGAACTTCACTTGACCGATGCTTTCGAGGATGGTCCACCTAGGGATCTTGCAGCCACTCTGCATGATATTTTTGTAAATAGGTATATTCAGGACTCCCTTGAATACCAAAGGTTCTGTCTAGTTTGAAAATTCACAAGAATTGATCCCCTCTTATATTTTGTTAAACGATGAAGTTTGTATATACATTGTATGCTCAAATTTATATACAATCTTTCAAACTGAACAGTCCACTAGTTTTCTTCATAGAAAGTTCGAAATACCATCCAATGGTTAGAACTCCAAGCTAGGCAAAAGGACACTCTTTAAAGTACATTTTGTTATCTCTTCTAGCAATCTAACGCAGCTCATGAAGCTCCACCTAGAACAAAACGAGATATCAGAATTCCGAGATCCTAACGTGTTCTGCGATCTTCCGAATATCTTGGACCTTTACCTGGGCGACAACATACTGACTGGTATGCACTTCAACATATCCTGCCTTCTCAAGCTGCGTTTCTTGGACCTCCAGCGTAACAACTTCACAAAAGTCCTCGAACGCGACCTTCATACCATGGACGCCATCGTCAAGCGTAATCAGAGCTTGGCGGTGGACTTCAGTGGGAATCCGTTCCAGTGTTCCTGCAAGCTGAATCCCTTCGTTAAATGGATGAACAAGACGAGTGTATTCATTCGCAATAAGAACAGCTTGAAGTGTAACGAAGGTACTTGCCTGTTGTCTCACTCCCAGTGTTTCACAAATGAAGGAGTGCCATGATTCATGTCGTTCATAAGTGGTTCTGCATTCAGGCTTGTTATGGGACGTTAACGTCATCAAAAATTTGATAGAATACTATAAAAAAGAAATTATTTCTTAATCGATGTACAAGGGAGCATGAAGAAATCATTTTGTCATGGGTCACCTTAGATGAAAATAGTATTTTTTTGTATTTTGTTGTATAGCATTTTCTTCAATTGTATTGTAAACAAATTAATATTGGTTTTAATGCATTAATGTTTGTTTGGTTTTTTTACAGGTAAAACAGCACACGAGATTCACGAGACGAAAGATTGCATGGCAAAGTTGTACTCGTCGGCACCGCGCGGTGCAACCGTTTTATTATTTTTCCTCTCGCTGGTGCTGATAGGACTCGTATGCGCGCTGATCTACGTACAACGGATAAAACTGCAAAAGAAAATCGAACCGATATTAGATTCGGTCAACAAAAGGGTGCGGTACACTTCGATAGCGACTGGCGACTCTCGCGAGAATGTATAGCCGATAATTTATTACCTTGTATAAGTCAAATACGTATAAACGTCTATTGATTTGGAACGATAGAGAAAAGATTTAATAACGATTAACGCTAGCGTTCGCACGCTTGTACTTCTAGACTGTTCTTTTTAAACAGAGAAATTTCACTTTTTCTATTGTAAAATAGATAAATACACGTTTCTTACTATTATACATTGTTTTAGACAGAAAGAATAAGATAATATTTATAATACGCCTTAGTACTTAAGCATTTAAACGACGAGTAAAAGTGGGAGCAGATGCTACTCTCGAAACTGTGTGTTACGGTATTAACATGCTAAATTTGTTAATACGATTAACGATTTAAAATGAAGTACGTGAGATGTTGATATTGTTATTGCCTCGTACGTGTCCACTGACGAATAAATGTTACATACATTTGTATTCTATGGTTTATTCATTCGTAACATGCTGGTTACCTCATGAATTAATGTGGCATGGTACGTAAAAGGTTTATAGGCATATTGTTTGTAATTTTGTCAGTTGCTGAGGAAGTATGATCTCGCGGATCCCGCAATACCTGTTGCTCAAGTATAGTCTTACTGTTATCAAACCATCTTCCCCTCCTCCAAACCTCCACCGCACAAATACGCAGACCAATTCCCATATCATTCGCCTATCGATGGCTATCAAATAGATGGAACATAAAGAAAGCATACACTCACATCAAGTATTCTTAGGACATTTTCCATTGGTTATCGTTGGCTATCAAACCTCTGACACTTTTTGCCGGAGATAAGATAACATTTTCAGGCTATTTTAATGTGCACAATGTGCACCAAGGTGTTATTATACATCTAAACGCATCAGTAAATTGCCGTCCAACTTTTTCTTTCTGCTGAGGGGAACAACAGACAGATAGAATGCCATTAGCCAGACGTCTTCGTCTCGATGATGTCGTCACGTCGTTCCCAGAGCTGGGCCCCACAGTCCCGGATGGTGGTTACGCATGGATTGTTCTCTATGGAGTATTTCTGGTGCAGGTATGACTGAAAACATGAGCGGAACCGGTCGGCACTGGCAGGCTTATCAACCCAAATAAGATACGTTCTTCAATAGCGCAATTGTTACTTAAAAGTAACTCGCAAGAGAGGGAGTCCACGGTTGCTCTTCTGGAGATTTCTATGATATTTGGAAGGGTGAATGTAAAGGTCGAATGACGGGATTTGTAGAGTATTTCCAGAATAGAAATTTTACTATGTTTAGTGCACTTCAATGTTTAATATAAAAACTCCTACGTCATGGATTCGACCCTGGAAATATTATCAAAATCTCAAGAGTAACTCGCTCTAAAAAAAGGATATGTTCTCAAACAGTTGAAAATTATTTATACAGGGTATTTAGAACACCGGCACTTAGGAATCTTCCATTTAATATTAAATATTAAGATATAGAGTGTGTTATATTTCTAAAATGACAATGGAATATACTCTGCATTTAAAAACGCAATTCCAATTGATTACAAAAGGAACTAAGAACCAAATTCTCTCATGAGATTTCATAGAAATTCAAAGTAATGTTTTTACAGGTATTATAGTACATAGACGCTCGTCTTACGTGTCGCAGTGTTGGTCAATATTTTTCATCAAATTAATATGCAATCCTATTATACACCCTGTATAATAAACCCTTGATGATTAATACAATTATATTGCTTCAACGCTTTCATGTTGCTGAGAACATTGTTTTTGAATGTTGTTGTCTTTACAGATGACCATACCGAGTTTATTGTCCATGTATGGAATAGTATTGGGCTACATAAATGAAAATGAGGCCAATGATTTTGATGTGTGGAGCGAGGAAATTATTCTCGCGCCGATACTGTTCACCGCGTTCAGCAACTTAGCAGGTATATAAAAGGATCAACTGTTATACTTCTGCTCCAATTCTGCTATCGATGCAAGTTTTTCATATTTTTTGAGAACATCATAGATAAAAGAACACTTCTCTCATATGAGAATTTGAGAATTTAAAATAAATACTTAATTGTAAAATACTTTATGGGGTATCAGAGTGCAGGATATTATTTTAGAGTCTTTTTACTTTAATTTTTATAATATTTTAGATCCTTGGACGAGGATGATAGTGATAATGGCATCAGTCCCTCGTTTGATAGGGATAATAGGAGTATTCCTCCTGGCAGTTGGGATTATAGCAACAGGCTACCTAGCAACTGGCGGAGTTGGAGCATATTTGGCCAGCTCCAGTGCTGGTGCGGTGATGGGCGTAGGCGCCAGTTTCGTCATGTTACTAAGCGAGTACGTTTTGCGGAAAAACTTCAGAAAGAAGCTCGCTTTAGCTTTAACATTGAAAAATATTGGAGCTTCCTTTGGTCTTGTTCTCATCCCCACTGTAACGAATGTGCTGTTGCACGAGGTCAAACTGAAAAGTGGTCTACTCCTCATGACGATTGTGCTGATGCCTACCGCCCTTGGAATACTACTGTTTCGGTTGCCTACTCCACAGGAAATTTCTTCTCCTTACAGGTCATTCTCATACATAATCTGTAATTGAAATAAAATAAGTCGTAAGTCCTAACAATCAAAATGTTTCAAACGTGTGATGTAAATGTATAAATAATGCGCAGTCTTCTCCTATCAACCGAAGAGGACAACGAACTTCCGATAAGAATCTCTCCAGATATTCCTGAGAGCACGCACCACTCAAATGGCCAAAATAATTTTGAAAACCCGGAATATGCTGAAGTTGAAGGAAGGACACACATTGGTGGATTGTACAGCGAGGGAAATAACATTTACGCTTATGAAAACCCAAACGAGGATGTAGATCTGTTTGTAAATCCAATTGTTCACTCGGATAGCAAGTGGAAACACCAGCTTCGACCACTTAGAACCTTTCGGTTTTGGGGTGTAGTAGTTGGGTGGGTCGGAGTGAAAGTGTCCGCACTCTTTTTCTGGATTTTATTACCGGTTTTGTTCTATGGAGTTGCGAACCATTCTTATGGTTGGATATCACTATCTACTCTGGCTGGCTTCCTTACATTTTTCCCAAGCGTTAGCAGTATAAAAGTGTTACAAATGACGACTCAAACCAGAAGACTATATTTTGGGCTATCATCTTGGCTTTGTAGCGTTGCTCTGATAGGCATGTAAATTCTGCTATTCCATCGCTATATTTACAAAGTGTTTTTTTTTTTTTTGTGTGTAATATATTCACTATATTAAAGAAATTTCTTTGTTCCCAGGTCTAAATTACGCAACGAACTATTCATGGATAATAATTTATACTATTTTAGGCGGTATCAGTATTGGCAGCTTGTCAAGTTGTCAGGATTTGCCTTTGTATGATATTCTCGGTGCTGAAACAGTGCGTTGTGTTCATAAGGGATTCTACAGCATCGTGGGTTTATGTATATTGTTCTTCTGTTTCGTACATAGTATGTCGTCTTAACAAATTTTTATTTTATCAATTTTTTTTAAAGAACGGATCAAACGATCGAGTTACAAACTAAGAGCTATTAATGAAACGCCATAAAAACGAATTTTTGATTACAGGTGTTGATTTCTGTCTGAATTTTACGGCGCTCTTACTATTTATCGGTGGATTCTACTGGATCTTGTCGCCTGTTGTGAGTTTAATTAAAGACTCGCGATACACACATTCTCATGCAATACACAGAACGAGTAGAGGCGAGACATAATAAAAATAATTCTAAATATTGATTTTACATTGTATCTTAATTTAACGGTATTTACAAATATTTATATCAATCACAATAATCTGTTTTCATGGATTCATCTAGAAATAAAAATAGTATATATAAAATCGTAAAAATAGACATTTCTTAGAAATTAAAAAATAGGCTTCAAATATTTTCTAATATAAAAAGGAATAAATATGATTTACAGTAGGTATCTCGAATGATCTCCATCATGAATGATTGCTTTCATGCGTGTAAATATACAGAAATAAAATATGTACTTTAAAATGTATATTGATATGATACTACCTTAATTGTAGAATTACTCTTTTCGAATTGCTTAAAAATATATTGCATATACATGGAATAGATTGTTTTCAAAATAATAACAATTTTATCATTCTTATACGCGATGAATATGTATGAGTATTGCATAATAATTTCTCTAAAATTCTATAAAATACAAGAAGTAATATGAGACTTTAATGGTAAGATGTTATTCGAATCATATGCTTACTTTGAGATCGTAAGATCGGTCTCTTATTAAGCTTAAACAAACTCACACAACGATTTTATACGTTTGTCGATTTACTTACAAGAGACTCGAAGAAGAAACTTAATCGTTGATATGCGTAAAAGGAGTTGATTAAAGATTTAACGATAAGTATTCTAAACTCGATTGATGTATCTACTATGTATGAAATGATTATATAAAATTTCGTAATGTGTATCACTTTCAAACTTCCAAAGCATCCTCGTATGCAAAAGTTTGCAATCACATTCTCACGCAAACGTTTAAAATTTGCCACTCGTAAGTTTTGTACAATTTTTATAAACATCGCAAATTTTTGTTGCGTAATTCTATCACATCATTGTACTATGGATCTCTTAATTTTTAACTTCAGTTATAAACGATTATAGTAACGAATAAACATTTCAATTTCTTCCGAATAAACTTTTGAAAGGCCGATTATACCACTTATTTTATACTAACTATTCAATGTAATAATATTGCATCAGACATCACTAAATGTCGCCTAACATAACAGACAGTCCAAAACGCTGAAGGTGAACGATTGCTACGAATGTTATGATTTTATAAATAAAATATTCATTTAACCATTCACGTCGTACTGTTCAATTATATACATGCGCATACTGAGCAACTGGAGTACATTTATATTCTTACTGGAAATGTTTCAATTTTTAACATATTTCCTCAGAGCTCACAACTAACAGCACGTGAAAACTGTCTTTGAAATGATAAACGACAAGAGTCAATATATTAGGGATCAGAAGCATTAAGCTTTTGATCTGATTTTGCTTTTTCAGATCACATTAAAAATACACATATTTGAAAGTAAAGATTGTATGATTTAACCTGCATTCGCGAGTAATGAATAAATTTTAAGTTTCTCCACGCTCTATATCCTTATCCTTTATCTTGCTAGGCCCTGCAGTATCGGAGTTCGAACAGATACCATTGGGCATTCGAGTATACTGATTATAACCACTGACGGGCCTTGGATTATCCAACTGATCATATTCTGATTCGTCGTTGTTTTGTTTTATTTCATCGTAAACGTGCTCAATCTTTTTCCCGTCCATTTCATCGATACTGTGATACACGTTGAGATTTGGATTTCCCATATCAGCATTTTTGTTCTTGAGGTCGTATCGACTGTATGATTCTAAAACCGATTTATAGAAAGAAATAGTATTATGTCTTCAAAAGAATATGAACAAATTCCCAACAATTTATAAAAACTACCTTTGCAATCATCATCGTCGTCCATGCCTAATCCGAGTTTTGCTGTCTCGTTATTTATTTTCTTGCTTGCTCCGAGATTATTTCTAAATTGGAAATTGTTCAACAAAGTGGTTGTTCCATCGTCAAACTTCAAGGAACCCTGATACGCGTACACAGGGTTATCGAACTGTGTTTGTTCTGTACAACAGATATAATCATTGGTTACATGAATTAATCTTCAAATGTAAATTAATATATTTATTAAAAAATTATATACCCGGAGGAGATGGAGGGTCGGCGATATATTGCACTTGCGCGATTTCATTCTTCAGATCGGCTACTCTGCGTCGATAATATATCCAACCGGCTAAAATCATAGCGATGACAACGACAGCAGCGAAAAAGAATCCTGCAACTATGCTTCCATATCCGCCTTCATCTTTCGCTTGATAATTACGTGAAAATAATTCTACGTCGCAATTTGGACCTGAAAGTTTCGTTATCAATTGAAGTGTTCATCGTGAGGATAATATCGATTGATTTCGAGTTAAAAATATACCCCCGTATCCGTGTCTACAAATGCAACCATCGCCAGGGTGACACATAAACAAGTCATTCTTGCAATCACAAGGTTCCATACAGTGATCGCCATAATATCCTTCCGGGCAGACTATCCGCAAATACAAAAAGTGTTTGATATATTCAAACAATCCACTAGTACGTGAAAGTTCAGTTTTATCGTAAATATAATTTCACGCAAAGTATGGATTCCACTTACTCTCTGTACACTTGGTGCCAGTCCAACCAGGTGCACAACGACAGTGTCCATCGTTAGATCTGCATTTACCCCCATGTTGGCACGTACAGTGTTGAGTGCAATTAATGCCATACGTTCCCTCTGCACATGGTGTTTGACAGTGTTCACCTTGCCAACCTGGTCGACACTGGCATATACCTAAACCAGTAATATCGTATATAATAAAAAAGAATCTATAGAGAAGTAAAGTAGAAACCTTACCTGTTACATGATGGCATTCTCCACCATTTTTGCAACGACAATGATTAGCGCAATTCAGTCCATACCGATTGGGGGGACAAGGATGTTCGCAAGTTAAGCCCAAGTATCCTGGACGGCAAACGTATTCACCAGTGACGTGATCACAGCTCATGTTACCTGAAAGACCACGTTTACTATACACATATACTCGAAATCTCAGCTATAGAAATAAGTACTGCATGTTTTTAAATAATTGTAGATTAGTTACGAATGTAGCACTCTATCTCTGCCTATAGTACTCTGCCTCGCTTCGATATTTATGATAAATGTATTATAGTAGTCTCGACTTACCACTCATTTTGAAGTTTGCAAAGCATTTTTGCACTATATTGTTTCACTGATACAAAGTGTTAACAAATTTGTGCAAGTTAACTCTACGCATGCACATGTAACCACTAACAACTAATCGAATTAATCATTTTCTAACTACAGTGCAAAATTTATAATGTAATCTATGTAAAATACAACATCGAACTACATGCATGCAGTTAACCCTCGGACACCGGGAGCTCGCATCGAAATCAAAGTTCATACGCGCTACAAAAGAAGGCTTAAAATCAAATTTTTATATGCAAATATTATTATCATATTAATAATGCCTCGAAACCAGTTGTTTTTGTTAATATTTTGTCCCGGAAACTACTTCTTTTGCAATAAAGTTCGGAACGTTTCTGTTGCTACAAGTTAGAATAGTGGGAATAGTCGATTGCTACGGATCGAGTTACAATGTAAATACATGGCTCGATACTTTCGATGACAGAGTGCATGGGACTTCGAAATTAACGTCGGAAAAGTGACCCAGCACCGACGTCAGAGGGTTAAACTCAAAATTGTTTTGTGTTAGATGTACGTATAGTACTGTAACTGTTATTTTATATAAGGCCTGTGAAAGCCCATATCTTTTCACTTTCAACTATAAATTATCTATCATTCGTACCTTGCATTTTCTTTGGACACTTTTCCTTACAGCTCACGCCATACCAGCCCTCTTTGCAGGGTTGAGAACAATCGGATCCTTCCCAGCCTCTGGCGCAAATACAAGTGCCTGTTTCTGGATCGCATGAACTATTGTTCATGCACTCACAGTGCGAATGACAGTCTTTGCCATAAAGACCTTCTGGACACTTGGTCTCACAGCGGATGCCTGTTTTATATTATTAAATTGGAAAACTTTATCGAAGATCAAATCGCCATCGAACAACGCTTTCCAATCTCCGATACTGTTTTACTTCTTTATTATTCGTTAGGTTCATTTTTTAAATTCTGAACGAAGCATTTAGTACAGTAAAGTGAATGAAACACAAAGGGAGGAAAACGAAGTTGCAAAATATCTATTTTATTCTATTCGAGGAGGAAACAAACCTCGCCATTCTGGCTTACAGATGCAACGGCCTGTGGCAGGATCACAGTTCAGACTATTTTCCTTATGGCAATCACAGACTTGAGCGCATCCCTGCCCGAAAGATCCATTTTTGCAATGATCCTCGCAAAATTCGCCGGTGAAGCCAGCTGCACACGTGCATGTGCCTGCGCGTTGAAAAAAAAGTAATGTGTTTTGGTGCAGGTGCAACGAGAATTAAACGAGAACAAAACAGATCAGTGGTTAAAAATCACTGTACTAGATAGAACGTGATCCTTGCAAATGTGCGCAAAATAAACATAAAAGAAAAAATGATAAAACTTGAGATTGAGATATAAAAATAATTTGATAGAGAAGTATGTGAAAGTAGCCAATGCAATTAAGAATCAGTAAAAGTTAATGCTTCACAGTTAGAGAAGCTGGAAACATTAACTTTATATTTATTTAATAATAAAAATCGTTGCAACCAACCCCCTTACCATTTTGCGGATTACAGGCAGCATTGTTAAAGCATTTGCATTTGCCCTCGCAGTCCTTGCCGAATGACTTGTCGTCGCAGGGACGATTACACGAAACACCAACCCATCCTAACAAAATGTAATAATAATACATGCAGGAGTAATGTTTCCTTATCATCTATACCGATATTTTAACGTCATAATAACAGTCGATGCTCTGGGAACTCTGAGACTTACCTTACACTAGATTTCTATTGCATTTCTTTAATTACAACTTATATCTAAATGTAATGTGCGAACGGCAAAATTTGCATGTAACACTAATATCAACAACTACTGTTAGTAATCGTTTTTTTCTTTCTCATGCAAATCACAATTGTATAATGAGAGACTATGTTAATTGTTAATGATCGTCCAAACAAACAAACTGGAAAAGCCAATCAGTATTAACTAAAAAATATTCAAGTTCATACAATCACAAGATGCTCATCTTGTTAAGAGTACTTCTCTCATTAGTAGTTCATACTTATTACACGTAAAAAGTAACATACGAACAATATTAACGCTTTGACTACGAGAAATATATTAAACGGGAATTCTATCTCTCTCTTGCGAGTCTCCATTTAACACGTTGACTGTCTGTACCTACAAACGTGAATACCTCTCGAATGTCCATAGCAGGGTTTGAATAATAATCAATTGCAATTTTTTAATTAAATAATTGATTTAAACAACTTAATTCAATCAACTTAATTAATAAATATTTTGAATAAATGTAATTAAAAATTATTTAATTAAAATTGAATTAAGCAGAGTTAATTGAAAGTCGTTTAATTGACGATTGATATGAGCAAATTTAATCGAAGTTAAGATTTAATTAACGATTACTTTAAGCAGAATTAATTCAAAGCCATTTAATTGACGATTACTTTAAGGAAAATTAATTCAAGCTATTTAATTGAGGATTTGTTTATGTCTTTAATGTTAAAAGACATTTATATAAAATTCAATTAATTATATAAGTAACACATATAAATAAACATATATATAAACCAATTTGTAGCGACAAATGCAATATACTAAATACTATTAACCTCATCAAAATGAGTTGTTTGTATATATAATAATGTATTTGTTAAGGTAATTCTATGAATAAATAATTTATAACGTAAATAAGAACAAATATGTATTCTTATTCAATGACGACAAAATAAAACAAATATATACCATAGGTATAAGTTAAAGTAATATACTAAAAACATAAAGCAGTTCAGCTAATTTGGCATTACCGGCATAACCCTTTCTGTAAATTCTGCTTAAAGTAATCATCAATTAAATGGCTTTGAATTAATTCTACTTAAAGGAATCGTCAATTAAATACATATCTTTGATTAAATTTGCTCATATCAATCATCAATTAAATATCTTCGATTAAATTCGCTCATATCAATCGTCAATTAAATGACTTTCGATTAATTCTGCTTAACTCAATTTTAATTAAATAATTTTTAATTACATTGTTTGTAATTAATTGTCAATTAAAGACGGAAATTAATTTTAAAAGTATTTAATTACTCGCAACCCTGGTTCATAGAGATAATAAAATGCACATAGCTTATTGATTATTTTGTAACATTTTGCAGTTAATTTCTATATGATCCACGCGTGGGTTAGCAGAATAGTCAATGTGATAATTCTGATTCTCTATTGCCTTCATAACGTAAAAATATAATTAATTACCTGCTGTACAGTTGCACCGTCCGTTCTCGGGTGAGCAAGGGGCACCATTCTTGCAGACACATTTCTGTTCACAATTCTCGCCGAAAGTGTTCTCAGGACATACTTCGCTACAATCCTCACCTCTGTATCCTGCCGCGCAAATACAAGTTCCATTTACAGGCGAGCATTGCGCATTATTCTTGCAGTTACAACGATTCTGGCAGCCCTTGCCGTAGGTGTAGAATGGACAAGGCCTAGCGCAAGTGTCGCCATCCCATCCAGTCTTACAGATGCACTTCCCAGTCCAAGGATGGCACAGTTCTGTATTCTCGCTGTCGCAGTCGCAAACCTTAACAATAATTAACAAAAATATGTATGCATTAAATAAAATATCAGTAAAAACTATCACAATACTCAGATGATATGGGTGATATAATCACCTCACATTTGGAGCCCCAATGTTCGTCATCGCAAATACGTTCATTGCAGTTTTCACCTTTCCAGCCAGGACTACACGAGCAACTACCATCAATTGCAGAACACTTTGCTTCATTTTCGCAGGTGCAGTTGTTGGTGCAGTTCAAACCAAACTTTCCGTCAGGACATATATTTAAACACTGTCAAAGGTGATCAAAATTAGTAACTCAACGCAATCGAAGATTATGTTTAATAAAACACTCTATTCACCTTGTCACCGTAGTATCCAGGCTTACATTCACATTCTCCTGTAACGTGATGACAACCACCTCCATTGTAGCAGTCACAGACTTGAGAGCAATTTTTCCCCCAGAAACCTTCCGGGCAACGATTCGCACAGACTGAACCCTATTGAAGGAGAATTCAATATAAACACGAATACAGCTTAAGAAGACTTTTACTGAGAGACCACTAAATATAGACCTCAGTAATATTGGAATACCAAAGGAAGATGCACAGATTGATATAGCAAAAAGAATCTTAGAAAAATGGAACCAAGAGTGGTTAATGACTAAACATACTGATCTCCACGAATCAAGAGAAAATATATTTTCAAAAAATCCTGCTATTTCTCTGCCAAGAAGAGAACAAATTCTAATAACCCGATTAAGAATAGATCACACAAGACTAACACATAGCCACTTAATTACAAAAGAAAACCCCCCATACTGCACAAACAGCAGTACAAAAATCACAGTTAAACATATAATAGAAGAATGTCCATTGCACGATAATATACGCGAAACAGGAAGCCAACCAAACACCCTGAAGAACAGTTTAAACGTCAAGAGTTGCATACTAAAAATCGTATCATATTTACAAAGGACAAGATTAGCAGAAGAAATATAAGCCACATATAGACAGGACACTACAATTAAATTATTAACTATTTTTTTTTATTATTAGATGCAAGAAATTTGTTATCTAAGTATACGTAATTATCTACGTAAATTATTTATGATCAACATATGTAGTGTATAGAATGTAAAGAAAATGTAGTCTGTCTCACAAGAGCGTGTCGGCTATATTTTGTAAATATTTATATATTTGTACAAAGTTTTAGATGAGTCGAATCTACACCTAAAACACTAATACGAATTTACCTAGTAAGATGCTCAATATCCTTCAATTAGCAATTATAGCTTGGTACCATCTCGACATCCTCTGTTAAGGTATATAAAAATGAAGCCACACAAAAGACGATTACTTATGAACGATTTAAGGGTGCGCAGGACCCAGAGCCAAACTCCGAGTTGACTTCAACGACAGTCGCGGAAAAAATAGAAAACTCCGGGACAAGGACAGAGAGAGCGATACAACAATTGCAGGAAAGACAAGGACAGGGCGATTAGGCTAGCATGATTCTTGTCAAGGATATTGAAGCAAAGAAGCAATATTTTCTAATAATTCTGGTTTCAAAATATTCCTTATACCTTGGCGCATGCCACTGTAAGATCCGATTTTGGAAAAAGTGTTTGTAAACAAATTTATTCTATAAGAAAAAAAAATTCCATTCTTTTATTATTTACAAAGTGTCAAGACCGAAATTGCAAAATCGGGCGTTAGAATGGCATGCGGAGTGATGAAACAAAAGAAACATTGCATCAATATCCTCTCTACTAATTTGTCAAAAATTGTCTGGCATTGGCTCACCAAAGTAGTGACTGTGATTGGAGCAATACAGTGTTCGGTGGTGAATCTTCGTTTCGAGCTTGGTGTCCTATTAGACATGCTTGGTCTGTCCGTAGAAAAAGAATAATACAAAGAAGTGTGAAACACCCCATAAAAGTGCATGTTTGGAGTTGCTTTATCGCAAGAGGTTTTATGTTGGAACTTTATGTATCTTCACTCTCAATCTGAATGCACAAACAATGCTGAAATAATATTAAAGGGGACTTCTCACATCCATGAAACGTTGGTTCAATCAAACGAAACATTAGTGGATGTTGCAAAAAGATAATGACCCTAAACGTCTAAGTCGCTTCTGTAAAAGATGGAAAGGGGAAAACGCTGTTACCATACTATGGTGATAACTAGACTGTGGATTTTTATGCATTTATAGGAAGTTTGAATGCGTAAAAAATTACAAAATGTACACAATGTGCAAGAATATGAAAATAATGAAAGTAAAGTTCACATTATAATATTTGCAGGGTAAAATAAATTCCTATTTAGGTTCAATTTCTGTAGGTGCGTTTGCAAAGATTTTATTTTGCATAAAAATCCGCAGTCTAGTGATAACGATGCTGTAATGTATGGTCCATAATGAAGTACAAACTAAGAGGAAGGTGTATTACCAAAATAAGAGCAATTTTACACCATATTTGAAAGATATGTAGGTCGTTTCCAGCATCTTACCCCAAAAAATTAATAGAAAACATGTGGAGATGGTGCCAAGCTATAATTGCTAATGGAGGAGATTGGACACCTGACTAGGTAAATGCGTATTAGTGTTTCAGATGTAGATTCGACCCATTTTGCACAAATAAATTTTGCACAAATATATAAACATTTACAGAAATATAGCTGACACGCTTTTGTGAGACAGACTGTAGTCCACAGTGGTCGCTAATGGGATAAATGCTGATGCGACATTAAATAAATTAAATAAAATAAAGGCTTTTGCGTATTGTCACTTTCATTGTAACGAATACTTACAATCCATCCAGAGGTGCAGTAGCAATCGCCAGTGGTAGGATTACAGTAACCACCATTCTGGCATTTACATTCCGACTTGCATTCGTCGCCGTGTTTCCCAAGCGGGCATAAATCGTCGCAACTAGGGAAAGGATAATTAGTATGCATCGAAGACTAAATTTTAAACCCCTGACAATTGGCACAAGTGTATTTAGTGTAACGAAGAGGAACTTACAGAGGTCCCGTGTAGCCAGGAGCACAATGGCACTCGCCAGAAATGTGATGGCAGCTTCCACCATTCCTGCAGCGGCACTCTTCGCCGCACTCTAATCCATAACGGTCTGGAGAGCATTTCTGATCGCAGTGGTCGCCAGTCCAACCTCTGGTGCACTGACATTTGCCATCGAAGGGGTCGCAGGTGGCTCCATTCTGGCACATGCAGTCCCTCTCGCAAGATTTACCCCATTTCCCAGTAGGACACTCTGTTCAAATGCAAATATGTACTTACATTTCCATGATTATACCAGGTATGTAAATATGAAACCGGAATTACTATATACAAAATACACATTTATTGTATGAAAATGATAAAAAATATTTAATTCGAAGTATTGCCCATTGCTAGCTATACATTTTTAACTGACTTAGAAAAGGAGGAGGTAACTCAATTCGACATGTATATTTTTTTTTAAATGTCTGTTCACCGGTTACGCCGATATGGCTTGACCAATCAGAATGGAACCTGTTGCATCTTGTAGAGCATGTTCTCCTGATGATCCTGCTGTCAAGACTTTTGCGATTTGTCATTTTTTACCCGTAGTTTGACCAAAAGACTGTGATTTTTAGGTATGCTTGCAGATTACGTCGAGATAGCTTGATGAATCGGAGTGAAACTTCTTGCATCTTGTCGAATATTTCTTCCAGTTGGTCGCGTAAAAGAAACATTTTGTGATTTGTCATTTTTTACCCGTTTTTTTTTTAAACAGAAACATTTTGTCTTGCTTCGTACTCCGAGACGGATGGACCAATCGGATTGAAACTTTTTGGAAGAGCATTTGCCATTTGGTCCCATAGCAAAACATTTGTCCTTGTCTTATTTTTTACCACTTTATATCACTTTTTATCGCAAAAAGCGTACTATTTCACGTATGTTTGGCCTGAAACCGATGAAATCGATGAAACCCCTTACATTTTACTGCCGGAGAGGTTTTCGAAATGATCACAGATGCAAAAATTTATGAATTTCTGTATTGTTTATAACTATTGTTATCGCAAAATTCCTATTATATGATGTAACTCGGTGAGAAAATTACCGAGCGCGATGGAACCTTCCGCATTTCATGATAGATGAATTCGTGATGTTGCCATTTGCAAAAATTTATGGACACTTTTATTGTTTATAAAACCATTGTTGGTGCGAAATTGCTATGCTCTGGTGTAGCTCAATAAGGAATTTACCAAACGTAATCAATCATTTCACATGTATTCCTGATAATCTCATTTGCAACAATACAGGGTGTCCCAAAAATGTTGGATGTTCTTGAACGGGGTGTTTTGGGGGGTGGGGTTGGGGGGGGGGGCGGATGATTTGAAAAAATTTTTCCTTAGCGAGAATGGTGTTCGAGGCTTCGTTAAGGAGATATTGACAGAAACATCCGACCAATCAGAGCGCGAGTATTTGCTTCGTTTGCGAAGTGGGAAATTTCTTACATTAATTCTGTCAACTCGACAAAATTCTGTTCGAGCAAAGATACCGAACAACTACCTACAGACACAAGTACCAAATTTGGTTTAACTATCTGTCGAAGGAACAAAAAATATGAACTGTAATTATTGCTATTATACGTATTCATATTCATACAGTATTTCCATGGGGAGAGTTTATACATTAGCAGTAATCAATTTTGCCGCCCCTCCCCTCCAAAAAAGTCCCAAATCTACTCAAACTATATTTCCGTGTACATACTATATACATTAACTATTGATTCCTCATAGACAATAAACATGTATACATTGACAGCATTCAATATTGCCGTCTCTACCAAAAGATAACCCAAACCGGAATTAATAATTTTTTACATCTGCGCCGCCTCAGAAAAATGTCCATTGCATTTAATATAATGTATTGAATAATTTAACCAAATTCATCAAACGACGGTGAATAACAATGAAGTTTAAATAGAAATTATTTCACACTTTTCACTGGATTTTCCCATACTTTTAAGCAATTATATCTAGAGCTAGTGCGTATTCGTATAAATTAACTAGAAATTATTTCATACTTTTCACTGTACCTTTTCTGAAGTCGATTAAATTTTTTTCCACAAAATTATTTTATACTCTTCATTGATTAACCACGCTATGCTGCCAAAGAATAATCTTAACACATTACGTATCAGGGTTTGAATAATAATCAATTTCAATCTTTTAATTAAATAATTGATTTAAACAAATTTAATTCAATCAACTTAATTAATAAATATTTTGAATAAATGTAATTAAAAATTATATAATTAAAATTGAATTAAGCAGAGTTAATCGAGAGTCGTTTAATTGATATGAGCGAATTTAATCGAAAATATTTAATTGACGATTGATATGAGCAAATTTAATCGAATATATTTAATTCACGATTACTTTAAGCAGAATTAATTCAAAGGCATTTAATTCACGATTACTATAAGCAGAATTAATTCAAGCTATTTAATTGACGATTTGTTTATATCTTCAATATTAAAAGACATTCATATAAAATTCAATTAATTATATAAGTAACACATATAAATAAACATATATATAAACCAATTTGTAATGACAAATGCAATATACTAAATACTATTAACTTCATCAAAATGAGTTGCTTGTATATATAATAATGTAATAATGTAATTTATAACGTAAATAAGAACAAATATGTATTCTTATTCAATAGCGACAAAATAAAACAAATATATACCATAGGTATAAGTTAAAGTAATATACTAAAAACATAAAGTAGTTCAGCTAATTTGGCATTACCGGTATAACTCTTTCTGTACGAGCGCCGGATATATCTGGCATCCATCTAATAACCTTATATGTGTTACTTATACAATTAATTAAATTTTATGTAAATGTCTTTTAACATTGAAGATATAAACAAATCGTCAATTAAATAGCTTGAATTAATTCTGCTTAAAGTAATCGTCAATTAAATGACTTTCGATTAATTTTGCTTAATTCAATTTTAATTAAATAATTTTTAATTACATTGTTTGTAATTAATTGTTAATTAAAGACGGAAATTAATTTTAAAAGTAATTAATTACTCGCAACCCTGTTACGTATACATAATTATGCGAAGCGCATCGTTAATACGCGTTTATTGCCCCGTGTAAGCATTCTAATATTGGGAATAGGCTGCCGGCGGTTACCGTGTCAGAAACATGTGGGTAGTCAGCGCTTGAACAACTGTTCAGCCCACGCAGAACCGACGAAACCTAACTCGCAAAAGGTCACGTAGGATCAGAGCCTTCGCAGGGGGGAATCGAGCCTGAAAAATAGCTTAGGAAGACGGGAAGCGAATGTAGAGCGAATTTCAAGCACCACTCGGCATTCTTTATCCCGGACAAGTAGCCTTGAATGAATCCGCGAAGACAACACTCTTCCTTCTTCGTTCTACGCCGTTTATATTCTGCGCGCGACGACCGATCTTTATGTGGCTAGAAAAGAATTACAGAATAGGTTAATATTAACAGACGTGCAAAATGTATTCAAAGAAATTCCTGTCTAGATTGAATATGCCATTAATTGCAGACAAATTTCAATTTTCGAGAGGGAATAGAAGAATGAAAACACAGATAGCGGTAGCTACAGAGAGACTGTGGGGTTAATCACATCACAAGAATCTTTACTGATGAACATGCACCATTTATTATATTGAGCGCGACATAAGAATCGACGCCAAGTATTTACATCAATCGCGACGCGTTTGCCCATCTCTGGTAGACTTAGTCAAAATAAACTATATGACGTCCTCCAGTGCTCTACATTCAGTCTTTTTTATTAATTAATAATTCACTGATTCAATAATTTCGTGTAGGAGTTTGTGTATTAGTTTATGTATATATTACATCAGTCATATTGACGTTAAATATCAATTCTTTATTATTACACGCGACTGTACTCGCGTATTTTTTGTGCACACACATAACGTAATTATTTTATCCATGTACAAGATTGCTAAAGACTATAATCATGTTACAGTCCATAAGAGCCTGCAAATATTAATTTACCCGATGAACTTTATTGACTCATCGTGATCCTTCGAACCTCCGAAGATAAACACTGTTTAGCTTCTGCAACGTCAATTACGAATCTCCAGTATCTTATCGACCAACCAAAACATCCAAACGTACCGATAAACCGAGCACCATATCGAAATTCTTTTTCGAGACTCGCAGCGAGTTGACACTTGCTACTTCCGGTCGCAGGAGTCATTCGATACTCGATTTACACACGTTCGCGCGTGATTCATGCCCGACAGTCACTTTGCGACAAAAACGTGACACTGGGATCGTAGTCCGTGATTCAGAGTCTTTGTCGAACGGTTTCTGCGCTAATGTGTTCCAACGTTGGCGTGTTATCCTTTTAAGATATATCGGAGCTCCCAAAATTAACGTTGAAAACAATCGGGCTCGAGACGGTTTCGTCGTAGAACGTCTCGGGAACAGGGCCGAGGTTGGGGGGGGGGGGGGGGGCAACATGATAGGTGTCCGGTGTCCCTAGTATACGAATATACCGATATACAGGGTGTCCCAAAAATATTGTAATACCTTGAAAGGGGTGATTCGGAAGGTGATTTGAAACAACTTTTTCCTTAGCGAAAATGTTGTCCGAGGCTTCGTTGAGGAGATATTAACGGAAAATACTGACCAACCAGAGCGCGAGTATACCGGTGGAGCGGCCATAGTAGTGTTGAGTGCGGCCGCCTAGCGCGTAGCCTACACTCCATTGGAATACTCGCGCTCTGATTAGTCGGGGTTTTCTGTTAATATCTTCTCAACGAAGCATCGGACAACATTTTCGCTAAGGAAAATGTTGTTCCAAATCACCTCCCGAACCACCCTTTTTAAAGAACTCCAACATTTTGGGGACACCTTGTATATACCCCTGACGGGGCGCCACGATAATCTTGCCCGAGGCGCCAATATTGCTAAAACCGGCCCTGCTCGGGAACTCCAGATGGCGTTCAAGCAGTTTACTATGTCATTTTCAAAGACATTATATACCCTAAATTGACTACACTGGTCATTTCTCGACATCCCGAATATACCTAAAGGCCAGTAAATAATAACAATATCGTTATGGTCACTTTAAGCAGTAAGCAGAAAATATTTGTTGTACCTTTTCTTTAGACGGCACTTCCAAGTTCCACTTTGACTTGGTCTTCGTGAATGTATAATACGTCACTTGCCTCGGACAGCTGTTATGTTAATCATCGAACATATCGCGCGTTATTGAATTAACGCGTAATTAATTCACTGATACGTAACTGACAAATTTAAGCTACTATGTGTTTGATGTAGCGTTTGTATTTCAGAACATTTGAGATATCCTGGATATACTAATAATGATAATAGTATCATACTATTTTTCAGTCACAAGTAGAAATGTCAATACAAATTATTACTGGACTCGAGTTTCTCGAAAACAGAATGTCGTTTAGAAAAGTATACTTCACATTTTATACCTACAATTTTTTTTTTTAAATATTGGATTGTTCGGGAAGTTCGTGCCTATTTTTAAGAAAAATTCAAAGGCATATTTGAACTTTGATGTATATTTATTGAATTATATATGTACCATTCTGTTCCACAACCTTTCCACTTTTTAACGAATGTACACATGTTATTTGTTTTCAGCCATTCCGATATATTCAGATCCTGTGTCGCTTACTAAAAATCGGCATGGACTTTCCAGACAGCCCAATATATAAGCTACAGGAATAAATGTCATTAAAAAAATAGAACAATGTTACGATTGCCTTCTTGCTCAAAAATAGTAGTTATACGTAACTTATAATATTATCTGACTTCGCTAATATTATATTTATTATCGTCAAGCCTCACTAAAGTGATTTTTACCACGAACAGTACGGTTCAGAAAGCGTTTCAAGGCGATAACGCGTCGCTCACCCTTCGTAGACCTGTAATCTATTAAATAGAATTAACGTAGCCAGAAAAATGAACAGATCACAGACGATTCAAATTATTTTCAATCTTCCGGCATATTGACGTGAGACATATGTTATTTTTCGCAGTGCTCGACGTTAAACTTTCTATTCGTCGAATTGAAGACGACAATCCGGAAGTGGCAATCAGCCTTCAACGGTCGTGTACAATTTTTTCTAAACTCTCGTGACGTACGATGATCGGGACACGTAGTACGAGTACGTGCTCATTAGACTTACTCATCAGCGTTCGTTTCTAGATGAATGAAAATCGCTTTAACGATTTTTAAAGCGTTACTCGTACACCAGGGGCGGATATATGGAACGTTAAGGCCACGATTCAAGGTTCTTAAAGCTTTATGACTTGTACAATTCTCGTATCGAAGTAGGGAAAAAGCAGAGTGTTTCTCGTTTATGTAACGCTTCTATTAAAATAGCGAACTAGCAAAGATCGAAAGGAAGTTAACGCGTTGCGTATTCATTCGAAAGGTCGTCCAGTTTCTCGGTTTATGAGTAAATTAACGAATGATTGTATTACTTAAAACAGTGCCTCTCAAAGTAGAGCGAAGAAAAAGAAATTTTATATTATAAAATTATAAAAATAAATAGATATTATATCGAGAAATAGAATGAACAATTATTGCGTCCTTTTGTTGGAAAATTTTTTTTTGTAACTACTTAATACAGATTTTTCATATGTATATATACAGGGTGTCCCAAAAATGTTGTAACACTTTGAAAGGAGTGGTTCGGGAAGTGATTTGAAATACAATAAACAAGTATTGCGTCCTTTTGTTGGGAAATTCTTTTTTTATAACTACTTAATACAGCTTTTTCATATGTATATACAGGGTGTCCCAAAAATGTTGTAACACCATGAAAGGGGTGATTAGGGAGGTGATTTGAAACAAATTTTTATTTAGCGAAAATGTTGTCAGAGGCTTCGTTAAGGAGATATTAACAGAAACTCCCGACCAATCAGCGGGCGCTCCATTAGCATACTCGCGCTCTGATTGGTCGGCCGCCTAGCACACAGCCTACGCTACCGCGAGCGCTCCACTGGCATACTCATCCTCTGATTGGTCGGAGAGCGCGTCCGCTCCAACGGTATACACTCGCTCTGATTGGTCAGTGTTTTCCGTTAATATCTCCTCAACGAAGTCTTGAACAACATTTCCGCTAAGGAAAAAGTTGTTTCAAATCACCTCCCGAACCACCCCTTCCAAGGACCTCCAACATTTTTGGGACACCCTGTATATTGTCAGACGATTTAATGACGATGTCATTTGGAAAATTTTTTGAATTTCTTAATGTTTATAGCAATTGTTATTGCAAAATTCCTATTTTTTTTGTATGTAACTCGATCAGGAATTATCCGATCGAGATGGAATCTTCCACATACATATATTTTATTTATAAAAGTGTGAACGACAGTTTAAATGCTTATAAACGAACCTGTGTCTAGGTTATATACTTAGCTAAACGAGTTGAACAAATTAAAAATTTAAAAGAAGTCGACACTCGTCGACCATTTCCTTTTTAACGATTATGGAATTTCTCGCGTGGCACAATATGGAAATAATCGACGCCGTTAAATTGCAATCGAGGTACAAAGTCTAAAGTCAGTAATGGTTTCTTCGAAGAAATGACGAACACATCAGGATCATGCACACTTTATTCTGCATTACCGAAGCCTTTTCATGAATCCCATGTAACTTTTCTGTCGCAACATTCCGGCATCACGCATTTCCCGATATCGCAACAAATATCTCACGTTTGCGAGCGTGTTTCTTTTTTTTTTTTTGTTCGAGAAAGATAGTGCCTCACACCTTTATGATTCACGAACGTAACGAAATAATTATTTTTCTTTTTCAGATACAGAGTCATGCTGAACACTCGGAACATACGAAGCTCCTGAAGCTATATGTACATACAATAGCTGTTTATTATTTTAAGAGTGTTAAGCCAGGATGGCTTCGTTGATTTGGTTGGTAGCTCCGATTGCCATTCTAGGAATAGCTCATGCTCTCGAAGGACCCAATATATGCACCATACAAAAGACGTAAGCGAAACAATTAAACTCATTGTGGTTCACATATTAACATTAAACCTACCAAAGTTCATTTGTAACTATTTCTACTGTAATTGAACAAACGACTAGTCTTAGAGACACTTTTTTCAATTAAATGCAAAAATATTTTACGTGGTACCAAGTTGAATAATAAATATAATTCATGTATTGCATCGTAAGTACTGTATACAAGAGTTTGTAAACGGTCGTGTTTAATGTAAAATTCCAAATTTTCTATTCTGCTATCGTTCCCTTTTCGAATGTTTACAAATAATTTTCAAGATACATTTTCGATACCTTTTAAAAATAAAAGCAAAAATAGAAAGTAATAAACTTGTTTTTGTGTGAAATGAGTACATCCCTTAACGACGTACTTTTGTACAATGGCCTCTAACGCGTTGTTTTAACACTCTGCTGGTGTCAGGTACACGGTAACGGTGAAGATATCGGAGCAGAAACCTTACACGGTACGGGAGAACACTTGGTGCTTCAGCTTTCCACCAAGATGCTCCAAATACAAAGTCGTGTACAAGACGGTGTTCAAAGAACAGGTGACCGAATTGAAATATTCATTGATTTAGAATTAAAGGGAAACTTGTATTCGATACTATATAGATGTGTTTTTCTTTCATCAGGAATTAGTCAAGGAGAGGCCGGTGGAGGAATGTTGCAAAGGCTACACGGAGACTACCGCTGGTGATCGTTGCATACCTATCTGCTCCGAGGACTGCGTTCATGGCACTTGCATGGCACCTGACTTTTGCAAGTGTGAGTCAGGATATGGAGGCCCGTTATGCGATTTCAGTAAGCACGATATTCATCATCTATGCGATGTGCTGCTCGAAATGACGACGCAGGACCTCACTCTAAAGATCACACCAGAAAAAATGAAGAGTTTTTAAATAGATTTAAAAATGTGTTATATAAAATATGTATACCAGGTAAGTAAATATGAAACCGGAATTTGCCCATAGATGGCCTTAGCTGTCAATATACAATAGTTATCGTCAAACGGCGTCATTGGCGCCAATTTTTTGTTTTAACATCTGAGAACGATTTGCAAGACACAACAATACAAGTTTCGTACAATAGCATTGTTTTTAATAGCGTTAAATACACTGCGGTGGATAACTATAGCACCACTGATATTTTTAAGGGTGCGCAGGAGCCAGAACAGAATTCCGAGTTGACTTCAGCGACAGTCGCGGAAAAAGTAGGAAACTCCGGGACAAGGACAGAGAGGGCGATACAACAATTGCAGAAGAGACGAGGACAGGACGATTAGGCTAGCATGATATTTTTCAAGGATATTGAAGCAAAGAAGCAATATTTTCTAATAATTCTGGTTTTAATATATTCGTTACACTTTGACGGATGCGACTCCAAGGTCTAATTTTGCAATTTCGGCCTTAAAACTTTATAAACAATAAAAGTACGTTTTTCTTTTCTTATAGAAGAAATTTGTTTATATATACTTTTTCCAACATCAGGCCTTAAAGTCGCATCCGCCAAAGTGTAACGAATATATTAAAATCAGAATTATTAGAAAATATTGCTTCTTTGCTTCAATATCCTTGAAAAATATCATGCTAGCGTAATCGTCCTGTCCTCGTCTCTCCTGCAATTGTTGTATCGCCCTCTCTGTCCTTGTCCCGGAGTTTCCTACTTTTCCGCGTCTGTCTCTGAAGTCAATTCGGAATTCTGTTCTGGCTCCTGCGCATCCTTAAAATTTTTTAAACATAAAAGAAAAATTCAAAGAAAGTAGTTGGATAATATGAAGAAACGATGTAAATAATTAATTTTAGAGGAAATATACTGAAGTAGTCTAAGCCTGTATCGAGATAAAGTCGAAAAGCATTATAGAATCGGTGCAAAACTATAGTACCACGGTCATTTTCATCACACTTCAAACGTGTTTGTCACAAAATTTTCATCTACTTCAGAGTTTTACTTATTAATTAATACAATGCCACGCGGTAAATATCTTACTGAGAAAGAGCAAGGTGAAATTTTGGCTTATAACAAGCTAGAACTGGGAATTAGGAAATATGGCCAAAATAAGAAAGGAGGAACTAAGAAGAAACTGTCCCCACGTGCTGAGAGGCAGGTTATTAAAATTGGGAGCAATAGTTTGATAACATGTCAGAAAATTGCAGCGGAATGTAGACTCGAAGTGTCACATTGGACCATTCAACATGTCTCTAAAAGGAATCCAAACGTTGCCAGACAAAAACTAATTTCAGCACCCGTTCTTTCTAACTGCCACAAAATAGCAAGAATGGAATATGCCCGCGAAAACATGAATAAAAACTGAGATCATCTAAGTTTAATGTTAATCGACAAATTAAGAGGTGACATTATTTTTCTCCATTTAACGTTCTGTGTTAGGTAATATTTTCCGATGAGAAAAAGTTTAATCTCGATGGCCCAGATGGGTTCAATTGTTACTGGAGAAACCTACAAAGAGACCCAAAATATTTCTCTAAACGCAATTTTGGAGGGGGAACGTTAATGGTATGGGCTGCGTTTTGCTCGAGTGGCAGGCTGGAATTAGCGTTTCCTTCATCCAGAATGAATAGTTTACGAGCACATTGAAATATTGGAGATCAATTTGTTGCCGTTTATTCATTCAAAGAACCACTTTACTTGGACGTATCGACAAGATAATGCCCCAATACACAAAAGTCGAGCAACACTAAGATGGTTTCAAACACTTAATATAAATTTATTAAACTGACCAGCATGTTTCCCGGATCAAAATCCGATGGTACATTTATGGGATATGATGGTATGGCGTATTTATGCACACTCAAAACTAGTTGAGAGCATGGCAAGTCGCATTTTTGAGTTAATCGAGAAGAAAGAAGGTCCTACTCATTATTTAATCATTCCCTTTTATTCATTGAAATTATAATTTAATCATTACATTATAATTTAATATTGTTATTATGTTATAATCCCATTGGCGCTATAGTTGTGCACCTATGAAATATCTATAGTATTATTATTAGTTGTCTTAAATAAATGTTATGTTCGCCGTTTTATCATTGCTATAACATATTTTTACCCACTTTTACATGATACTATTAAAAATTAGAAATTATTAATTAAATCTACAGAACGCACGAAAATTGTAGCGGTGCTATAATAGTCATGGACCGTAGTGTAGACTGTTGCTGAATCGCATCAAATGCTTGTAGAAGCTTACGGTACATGCTCTTGGAAAATCACAGTGCATTGAATGGTTTCGAAAATTCAAAAGTGGTGATTTTGACGTAAGAAATGAAGAACGTGGAAGACCATCGAAAAAAAGTTGAAGACAACGAATTGCAAGCATTAAAAGCCATGGGAAAGATCCAGAATTTGGGAAAATGGGTTCCACACGAACTGAATGAAAAACAGCAGGAAAACCGAAAAACCACTTGACGAATGCTGCTCGCCAGGTACCAAAGAAAGTTATTTCTCCATCGAATTGTAACTGGCAATGAAAAATGGATATATTTCGAAAATTCTAAGCGTACAAGATCATGGGTAACTCCAGACGAACCATCAACATAGACTGCAAGGCCAAATCGCTATGGATGAAAGACAATGCTCTGTTTGGTGGGATCAGAAGGGTGTGATCTATTATGAGCTGCTAAAATCTGGCGAAACCGTTAATACTGAACCCTACCGATAACAAATCATCGATTTGAATCAAGCTCTGCGTGAAAAACGTCCAGAATATAACAAAAGGCAACACAAAGTGATTTTGCTTCGCGATAATGCACCATCACACACAGCAAAACCGGTCTAGGAAACGATTGAGGAGTTTAATTGGGAAATATTTCCGCATGCGGCTTACTCGCCAGACTTGGCTCCATCTGATTATTATTTATTTGCATTGCTAGGACACGCACTTGTTCAGCAGCGCATCACTTCTTACAAAAATGTACTAAAAAAGCTCGAAAATTGGTTTGCCTCAAAAAAGCAATAGTTTTTTTTGGCGTGGCATCCACAAATTGCCAGATATATGGGAATAAAATAATTTTTTGGAAAAAAAATTTAACCGACTTCAAAAAAGATACAATGAAAAGTATGAAATAATTTCTAGTTAATTTATACGAATACGCACTAGCTCTAGATATAATTGCTTAAAAGTATATGGAAATGCAGTGAAAAGTGTGAAAATTACTATTTTTATTTAAACTGTATTGTTATTCACCATCGTTTGATGAATTTGATTAAATTATTAAATACATCATATTAAATGCAATGCACCTTTTTCGGAGGCGGCGCAGATGTAAACATTTTTTAATTCCGATTTGGGCTAGCTTTTGGTAGAGGCGGCAATATTGAATGCTGTCAATGTATACATGTTTATTGACTATGAGGAATTGATAGTTAATATATATAGTATATACACAGAAATATAGTGTGAATAGATTTGAGGCTTTTTTTGGAGGGGAGTGGCGGCCATATTGATTACTGCTAATGTATAAACTCTACCCATGGAAATACTGTGTGAATAGGTTTGGGATAGTATTTGGTGGCGGCGGCGATATTGAATAGTGTTAATGAATATGATGTCAAAGTGGATGTAATGATAGCAATAAATAAAAACCATATTTTTTGTTTCTCCGACAGAACGTTAAACCAAGTTTAGCAATTTTTAATATACTTAATTCTAAATTTTGCGCCGCCTCCGAAAAA